ATCATTTTGTTGAAAGATTTCAATTTCCAAGGTTAAATTAGATACTCCATGTAAAGTACTTACAAGTGTGACTGGCATACAATAAACCAAAAACTCAAATCATTAAGACTGCACCCTGTCAAAGGCGGAGACCTTGCAAGACCCAGAAATACAAGGTAAACTTGTTGAATTCTGGCTCTCACAGGTTTCACTGTGTATACCATTATGCATTATTTAACACCCACTATCACGTGTGAACTAGGACGTTATATGATTGGGACATTGTGTGAATGCCCTGCTTCTTCTTGAAGCAACTAGAACAAGCTGCAGTTCTTAGCAATGATCATCAACATGCTGAGAGAGATTCTCTTCCGTGTTTTTAAGGGTCTTTGTGACTGGTGAGCAGACATGCCTAAATTGCCAGCAACAGATGATTTTCCATCTTCATGGTGTTTAACAACCTTTGCTTCACTTCTAGATTATTACTTCTCCTTTGCTTCTTGCTGCGGCTATCACTAGCACTCGTCCTACTGTGTTTGGGAGACATGGTGTACTTCACAGTAATATTTTCAAAAGAAAATTAAACAGAGATCATGTTTTAACACTCAAGAGATGCACGCTACACAAAAGATTGGATGTTGCTGCCTATAGTTGAAGTATTGATTGTTGGCGCTGTAGAATAAGGACTGGACTGTTAAACACAGGGTCAGCAGTTCAAATCTACTAGCTGCTCCAGCACAGGTTTACAGACTCAAAAACCCTATATAGGCTCGCTATGAGTTGGAATCCACTTGATGGCAGTGGACTTAGACAGGAAGTGCAGTAGAATACATACATAGGTACTTATCATGACTATCAAGACGTATGTATTATAGGTTATATATGCACTGTACCATTACATACCTGGAAGCAAACCTGCTCTGTATACCAGAGATATAAGATGCACATGCTGCAATGGGAAGCTGTTGCATTTGCTACATCCCATTCTCCAATCAGGATTCCTGAACTTTTCTATAACCTTATTGTTGTTGTTGTTAAGTGCCATTGAGTCGGTTCCGACCCATAGCGACCCTGAACAGGGTTTCCGAGGCTGTAAATCTTTACGGGAGCAGAAAGCCTCATCTTTCTCCTGCAGAGCAGCTGGTAGTTTAGAACTGCTGACCTTGTGGTTCACAGCCCAATTCATAAACACTACGCTACCAGAGCTCCTATAACCTTACAGGACCACAGATATATATGCAGCCAAATATCATAACTCACGTATGATTTTATATACATATGCACACTAATAAATAAATGAAATTTAAGTTTGACTGCCTATCAACAAAGATCACATACAAATAATGATTATAAATTCTTAAACACCACACAAATAATAATAAGTAGTAGAAACATATTATAACTTAGAGTACAAAGTTTGGGACTGAACCGAACTATGCTCCAATTCTGGCTCCACCACCTACTTATTTCCTCTATGACCCAGACAACTATGTTACTCTTTCAAAGTATTAATACTCTCATCTGTAAAATGGGAATAATCAAATTATGCAACTCATTATAATCAAGGTAAATTAGATACTCCATGTAAAGTACTTTCAAGAGTAACTGGCATACAATAAACCCAAAACTCAAACCTTCCATGGAGTGGGTTTAAATGGCAAACCATTTGGTTAGCAGTCGAGTGTTTAACCAGGGCACTACCAAGGCTGCTGGCCTTTGATAAATGCTCTGCAAATGTTAACCGGTTGTCATCAAACCTATTCAGACTCATGGAAAAGCTACGTGTGTCAGAGTAGAACAGTGGTCTGTAAGGTTTCCAATGGCTGCTTTAAAAACAATAGATCTCCAAGCCTTTTTTCCAGCACAGTTCTGAGAGAGATTTCCAGCACAGTTCTAATCTCCAACCTTTCTGTTAGCAACCAAGTACATTAATCAATTGTACCATTCATATGTGAACTAGAATAGATGTCCATTTACTGGGCCCATACAAGTTGCTCTACGTGTGCACATCACCTTTCCCAGATTGGTTTTGCTTCCTCCCTTTCCAGGTAGGTCCCATAATCAACTGCTGTGTTTGCTATCCTTGCTCTTGGTCTTTCCTACCTCACCTTCCTGCGGTTCATTTTATGACTATCTGCAGGCCTGGCAATGACAATAACCCATCAGCTCCAATCTTTCCAACTCTAATTCATCCTATACAGACCTATTAATCCTCCCAAAAAATGAGTCACAAACATGACAGTCCTCTCTTCCAAATTCTCAAATCTTCCCAGGTTCTACTAAGTTAAGTTTGCACTACAGCACTGAAGGCTTCCCTTGATTTTTGGCCTCAGTCTCCCTTTCCGGGTATCTCTCCAGTTTGGAGTCTACCCTTTAGCCAATCTGTCGTACCAATTCCCCCTCTGCTTTCCTTTTAATTCCCACTCCTTCTCTGCCTAACCCTTCTTCTAATCTAGATCAATCTCAAATGTTACCTCCTCTCCAGGGTATTTTCCTGACCTTCCAGCTCTCCTTAGAATCCTCTTAGGTGGATCTCTCTTTGTGACACTTACATTCAACCTTGTATCAGGGCTGGTTCTATCCAAATCCGGCCTCATCCCTGTAGCCTGTCTAGGGCTTTGTTCATTCCAAGTGTCCAATACGTATGGAAGTTGATTCATTGTGTTTCATGAATTATATTTGAATATGCCTATTTACCATAGGCCCCTGTGTATCATATACCATTAAAAAAGAAAGATAATTTCAAATAGAACCTTTTACGTCCTGGTGTGGGACTGTAGGATAAGCATTGGACTACAAGGTAAGTGTGAAGCACAAGATTGGTGGTTCAAAGTCACCAACCACTCCTCGGAAACCCTACACAAGGTCATTACGAGTAGGAACCAACTCAACGGTTCACAACAACAATACTTAGCAATGCAGCAGATGTCCTTAGTTGCTGGACTCTCTACCCACGGGAATGTACGTTTCATGATCATAAGCTCATTAAAACAATATGTCACTACTTCTTTGAACTTCCAAAATATATAAACTTGGCCATGAAGTCCACTCAGCTAACTACAGTGCTACTGAAAATACCTTCATCTGGAGTAACAAATTCCTGGGGTTGTTTTATAGGTTGTGGTGGTGCTGTGTGATTTGACTGGTTGGTTTGGGGTCTTGATGCAGCGGCACCAGAAAAAAGTAGTTATTGCTATGACTGTGTCATAAGAGGATTTTGTTAAATTCTCTTCTAATCTCATAATAGAAAGTTGTGGACAGCGGAGCTGAGCTTCAGTTATTTAATGCAACCCTATAGTGTCAAATGAAACTTATTTTTAGTTATGTTGAACTGCATCTTCACTGTTTGGCAGTTCTTTTTGCTCATGAAGCTTCTTGGGTTCAAGTCAGCAAGTCAGACAACAAATGATGACGTCAAACTAGATGAAAACAAGTTATTATTATAATTTTTTTAAAAAAAGAATAGCTTACTAATTGCTGCTGTTGTTGTTATGTGCAATGGAGTCCGATCTGACTCAGCGAGCCTGACAGGGTTTCCAAGGAGCCACTGGTAGATTTGAACCTGCCTACCTTGTGATGGTTGCAAATTGGGCTGCTAATCTCAGGGTCAGCAGTTCGAAACTACCAGCTATTCTGTGGGAGAAAGATGAGGCTTTCTGCTCCCGTAAAGATGTACAGCCTTGGAAACCCTGTACAAGGTCAGTATGAGTCAGAAACAACTCCACGGCATATAACAACAACAACAACATTGTGATTTGCAGTCCAGCACTGATCCTACCTACAGTGCCACACCAGGAGGCAATCTTACTATTGGATCCCTCAAGAAAACGGTCATCTAAAAAAATCTGGTCCTAAATTACTTGAACCTGAGCACAATCAAAAAATGCTCAGGAATCCTGCCTCTAAGTAGGCTGCCTCCACAAATACCTTCCCAGAAACTTTGAAATAAGTGTATAGTTCAAGCCAATCAGAATATTCAACCATCAAATGCAGTAATGCCAAAAGCAGCAGCAGAAGAAAACTGAAAAATATTAACTCTGGTGGTGATGGTTGTGTGCCATGGAGTCGGTTCCAACTCACAGTGACCCAGCATAAGGTTTCCTAGGCTGTAAATCTTATGGAAGCAGAAAGCCTCATTTTTCTCCCGTGAACAGCTGGTAGATTGAAACTGCTGACCTTGAGGTTACTAGCCCAACTTGTAACCACTACACTAAGAAACTCTACATGCTGCTTTATTTCTTTATTCCTTAAATTTCTTTTTTTTTTTCAAATAACTTTCTGCTCCTCCCTTTCAGCCTCAGAAAATTACCACAGAAACATCCACATTGTGAATATTTTTATAAGTCAAGCTTTTCTTTACTCCTATGAGCACAGTGAAAATCATTTCCAACTTTCCCTAGACTGTTTTTGTGATCATACATTTATTTTGCATAGAGACAATTTCTTAAATTCTGTAATCAAAGATTTCTTATTGTGGACTTTTGTATAATGAATTCACAGACCAGCAAAAAAAAAAAAAAAAAAAAGAAAAAAAAAAAAAAATCATTTCCAACTTTCCCTAGACTGTTTTTGTGATCATACATTTATTTTGCATAGAGACAATTTCTTAAATTCTGTAATCAAAGATTTCTTATTGTGGACTTTTGTATAATGAATTCACAGACCAGCAAAAAAAAAAAAAAAAAAAGAGAGAAGAAAAAAAAACGTTTTCCCAGACTTCAATGATCCTCATCTTTTCTCAAGACACTGTTGGCCACAATGCACCACAGTTGGCTGGTTATAGACCAAGTGTGACCATGGCTAAGGTTCCAATGCTCATTGTCACTGCCTCCCTCCACAGCCTTTGAGAACTCTCTGAGAATTTAAAAGGTTTTACACTGTTCATGTCACTAGTAAGAGTCCCCCACTCTCCCAAAGTAAGTGTGTTAACAAATTTGCTTTCTGAAGGTCTCTGTAATTCCCTGAATAATCAGAACTCTCTTCCAATACCAAGCTTTCTCTAATAACACCAGGACACTCACCTTTGGCATTTCAATAATTGATGGTCTGGGGATAGAAGTTTGAAAAATAACTGCTTGGCAGCCTGGTTCAGCACTTAGGGACCCAGGCAAATCCTCAGGTGTCTCCGTGGGCTGAGCAGCAGTCTGGAGACTTGAACTCCGGTTCACACTGCCATTTCTCTCTAACTGGGTGCCAGAATCTCGCCTTTTCTCTGCAGCTTCTTCTTCCCCATTCTGGTGACCTGCTTTGGCCGTGGGCTGAACATAGATGGTTGAATGAGTATCAGCCATGCTGGACTGGTCAAAGGGAGCATTCTCCTGTGCATTCCCAAAACACGCAAATAACGCTGAACATGGGAAAGGGTGCATCCTTCTAGACGGAGATTTCAGTCTTTTAGTGAGCCTTGCTTTCCACGTGGACATGACCAGCAGCGAAACATTACAAAATCCAAAGGGGGAAAAAACAAACTTTTTAAGGGTTTAGATCATGCCCGGTTCCCTTATAGTAACTACTTCCTGGCCTGAAGAGAAGGACTTTTTAGCGGTTGCCTTGTGAGGAAACTTTAGGAGATGGCAAGACCACAGTCACTGAGAGTACCTCAGGAGCTAACCCCTCTTCGGAAGTGACCATCCTGGGTGATTTCACGCTCTTCTGTCCTGAAGGCTGTTGGTGGCTAAAGAAAGCTGTCTGTGAGACGTTTGGTTGGCTTGGGTTACAGTCCTCAGGCAGGGCAGACGCTTCAGTGTAAAGTAATGCCAACTCAATGGACAGTTGTTTCAGGTTACCTTGGAGGCATAAAGATAACGTAGCCAGATAGTATCCGCCATAATAGCGTCAGCCTGTGTATCAATAACATCATAAAAGCAGCGTAACCTTCTTCAGTTACTCACTTCAAATATTGATTCCCCCAAACAAAACCAAAATGGCCCAGTTACCCATCACAAATAAAGACCCCACAAGAGGGGCCTCAACCCTGGCAGCTGTTTCATTATTAAAGTGGGAGGTAGATGTGAAGCTTTTGTCTGAAGAGATCCACATTTGGGTTTGATGTCACAAGGGATTTTCTGGATCTTTCTTGAATCTTCCCTTAAATGAGCTGTCTGGTTTCAGGATTTTTATGGCCTTTGCTGGTAACTATAAATGAATCTGTTAATTTGCTTTTATTATTTTTTTTTAATCTAACTAAGTTGTGTTCTTGATTAATTTCCAACAGAAAAAAAAAAAAAAAAGACAAGAGTGCTGGGTGAACAATTGACACAGGAATAATGATGTATGAATGATGCTTTATCTACTGCATATTTTACCTCCTTTTATGAAGTAACCCCCTTTTGAACACAGACCTATTACTTCTCCACAATTAGTACATGATGACAGAAATAATATGAATTACAGTCATATTGTATGACAGTACTCAAAAATAAGATTCATTCCTTAGCAAACCATCTGCTATAAATGTTATAGAAATGTAATACTGTAATGGTTTTACCATTAATAGTGACTTACAGGTCAAGATTGCAGGGCATGTTACCCACTGTAATTTATTTTTTGCTTTCTCTACTTTAATTTAATGTCAAGATGTGTTCTTAAGCCCAGACAGGTGGTAGATGCTATGGCATTAATCCCCATTTTACTGAGACTGAAACCAATTCTTGGAAATTTCAAAGTTATACCATTGTGTAGGTTGAAAGCCCAGGATCCCTGCTGTCCTGTCTGGTCCCTAAGGGTCACTGGACCTGACAATCATGTTATTGATGCAACTGCTGTCCTGAAAATACTGTTGTGAGTGCAGTCGTATGCATAACACACAAAGGCAGGTATGACTCAGGGAAGAGTGGACATGACTTCAAATATAGGTTTTAATCTTTACCGGAAGTCAGAAATAAAAATCTTAAAGCTGCCATTGACTTAGGAGTCCTGGTAACAAAATGGGTTAAGCATTCAGCTGCTAAACACAAGGTCACCTGCCGCTCCAAAGGAGAAAGTTGAGGTTTTCTGCCCCCATAAAGATTACAAGTCTCAGAAGGCCCACGGAACAGTTCTATTCTGTCCTTTAGGGTCCACATGAGTCAGAATTGACTTGATGGCAGTGGGAGGACCACTTAGACGTTCTGAACTGCAAGCACAAGGTTGGAATTCCAGCTTACCAGCCGCTCCGTGGGAGAAAGATGAGAATTTCTGCTTCCATAAAGATTTACTGCCTCAGAAACCCTATAGTCAATGGTAGCAAGTTTAGTTTTGGGATTTGGATGTAGCAGGCAAGAAGCCATGGGCACAATGTTCATCTGATAACCCAAAGGCTGGGAGCTCAGACTCACCATGTGAAGAAAAAGCATGTGGGTGTGGCAATCCCCTTCCGTAAAGACTGAGGTTTTGGAAATCCCCTGGGGCATTTTTTCTCAGTCCAATAGAATCGGTATGCATCAGAATCTATGTGACAGCAGTGAGTTGAATGCTTACCCAGATATTCCAGGGTTCTCAGTCTTGAGAGATCACCTTCCTTTCATTACTCAATTACAAGCAATCCAAATACCCCTCCCACATGGAGCCAGGAAAGCCAGACTCTTGCCACAGTCCCTCACCCTAAGTATTCCTGGAGGTCCCCAGGAGCTGTGTTTGTCTGGTTGTCCCTCAGTTGGGTTCCTCAGACTCTACCCTTCCTCAGTTCCCTCCCTGTACAGCATGCTCATAGAAAAGCGAGGCCATACTAGTTAACAAGACTTTATGGAAGACTTGGGGCTAACAGCGAAGAATTAAAGAGAAGGAAAAACCATTCTCATGCGTGTATTCATTCTTTCTTCATTTATTCAACTACATGCCAAGCATCATTAGGACTGGAAAGACAGCAGCTAACTATGCAGATTTCAAGGAGCTATGTGGGGCAGACTACTGGGTGAGCTGGAGTTTATGGGTGGTGCAAGCAAATGGCTAACATACCTGCACAATGCTCACTGGAGGGTCAGAGCATCGAGTCTACCCAGCAGAAGACAAGTCTGGAGATCTACTTCCAAACAGTCATGGGTCCAGTTTTACTCAGGCACACATGGGGATTCATAATGGACACAATGGTAACTGCAAAGGGGAAGACAACTCTGAGTCCCTTTTTCAGATCTGATGAATCTCTCAGTTTGGCTCTGAACTTGTCCTACTATAGGGACCAGCTTACCTCCCAGGAACATCTCAGAACTCCCGGGAGCACCATCTCCAGCCCACTGAGAATGGGAGGAAAGGGGATATGGGTTTTCATAAGAGGAAGAAATCCAACTCTGATATACAACTCTATCCATAATGAAAAATAAACCTTCCATATTGTTACATGAAGAGTTCAGCTTCTCATTTTCGAAATGAGTCCAATTTAAAAACAGTATCTTCGATTTACCTTTGTATTTGTACCAAACAGTTCAATTATTAAAGTTATGGGGTTTTTTTCATGTATTTTTTAAGGGAAAAGCAGGAGGGAGGGCTACCTACCTTCAAAGGGAAATTTAAACCCCTATCATTTAAAAAAATGAAGGAAGAGTTTGTTTTAAAATGTACACTTAGTAGTAAGGAGCTGTGGTGGCACAGTAGGATAAACACTGGACTCTACCTCTAGGTCAGTGGTTCAAGTCCACTGAATTCCTCAAGAGAAAGCTGAGGCTTTCTGTTCCCATCAAGATTTACAGTCTTGAAAACCTTAGGCAGAACAGCTTAGGGCTTCTGTCCAGGCACCAGACCAGGACTAAAACCTCCACTGCAGGCTGGATTTAGGTCTTGATTTATTTAAGAATCTTGCACAGCATTGTTAATATAAATTTCAGTTTTCCCCTCTAGGACACACACGTAGCAAAAACACACAACTTTTTTGGTGGGAAGAGCTTGTTCTGTGACTGCTACCCATTTCCTGTTGTTGTTGTTGTTGTTGTTGTTATGTGCTGTGGAGGGTTTCCGAGGCTGTAAATCTTTACGGGAGCAGAAAGCCTCATCTTTCTCCCGCGGAACAGCTGGTAGTATTGAACTGCTGACCCTGAGGTTCGCAGCCCGATTCGTAACCACTACACTACCAGAGCTCCTGAGGCCTGTGGAAATAAACCTTTATGTACTTAAAGTTATATAGAAAATAGAATAAAATTAATACAAAAAAAGCAAGAAAGAAAACCTTAGGCAGGGTTGTTATGAGTCAGAATCAATTAGCCAGCAATGGGTTTATACTTGTAACATTTTTCAAAACAAAAATCAATGATTTTAGACAATAAGAGCACCCCATCACATCTGCATAATCTCCCTTAACCCTGGTGTGGCATTGTAGGGCCAGCACTGGACTGCGAACCACAAGGTCAGTAGTTCAAGCCCACTAGCTACTTCTCGGAAACCCTACACGGACGGGGTCACTATGAGTCAGAATCATTGACTCAACAGCACTTAACAACAGCAATGCTTAACAACAATATCAACAACAATTCTCACACAAATGCATACTATTTTGGAGGAAGATACTAGGAGAGGCTAAGTAACTTGCCTAAAAAGTGGCAGATCTGTTCAAACTGTGGTCTGACTCGTGAAATACCACAATCATCATCTTGTTTATGGACTGTAGTTTTGTTTTACCTCCTATCAAACAACAATGTGTGGTGACCAGAAGTCAAAATTAGCACAATAGCTTTTTTTGTCTCCTTAGTGGGTTGCTAGAGTCATGGTGTGGTGTTGTAGAATAAGCACTAGACTGCTAGGCACAAGGTCTGCTGTTCAAAGCTACCAGTTGCTCTTCAGAAACCCTATACAGAGTTGCTATGAGTCACAACAGACTTTAACAACAAGTGGGTTGCTAAGTCTAACGTAAAACAATAGCATTAACATGTAATAGTTACGAATGTTCATTATCAGACAAAAATCTCAGCAAATTAACTCACTTTGTCCTCAGGACAATTCTAAGGGAAAAGACGATATTATTATTCCCATTTTTACCAGTTAGAAAGGTAAGACACAGAGACTTTAGCAACTTGTTGCTAAGGAGGAAAGCTATGATCATGAGGCAAGACTGAGTCCAGAATTCATGCTTTTACTTTTTCAATACCCCCTTGCACAAGGCCACACATTCCAAATCTACCTCTAGGAATTTACTCTATAGATAAACACGTACACAGAGGTATGTCTAAGAATGTTCATAGCACTTAATTATCAGTAGACGGCATATTAATTTAATCATAAAATATCCATACAATTTACTAATGTGCAACTACTTAAAAAAAAAGATGTCATGACTTTAGGAACTCCTGGTGTGGCACTGTAGGATCAGCACTGGACTGCTAATCACAAGGTTGGTGGTTCAAACCCACCAGCTATTCCTCATAAACACTATACAGGGCCGCTATGAGTCAGAACCGACTCTGCACTTAACAACAATAACAACTAATTAACTACATTCATTTATATTATCTTCCTTCTA